AGAACGTGTAGAAGTGTAACCTTGACGGTAATAAAGCCACAATAAGATAGTTCATCTACATCAGAGGGGACGAGAAGCGGAAAATTCTTAGCATCCATTAAACCAATTTTGTTTGATCGCGTAATTCATTTTTTTATTGGTTAAAAAAAAATGGCGATATCAAAATATTACCATTACAATTGACTTAAGGTTGGTTGAAATTATAAGACAATTTCATTCAATATAATTTTATTATTTTCACGTATACAGTATTTGTAATTATATACTACAGTATTAAAAAACAATGCTAGCAGGGTATTGTTAGAAAATTGTCATCCTGTATAATGAAATGACTGTCGAAGCAATCTTAACAGTGATTTTACCACCAAAAGACTGTCTCGATGAGATTGGATTTTAACAATTTTGGGTGCATTAGGATCGTCTCATCGAGACGGTCATTTTAGTGGCAAAATTATCTCAGTTAACCATACTTTAATATGAGAGAAACACTAATTATTAACCAAAACCTTGCTGATAAATGGGAGTAAAGCTAGTAAAGCCTACTTAGACATTCTTATTAAGCTCAAAAAAGCTGCTAGTAATGGATTCAAGCATCCTTATCAGGTGTATGACATTAATAACCGATTAGACCCGTTCGAAAAGCTAGTGCAAAGAACCTTGATAAGCCAAGTTTTCTACTTTAAATATATATCAGTACTGCAGTACGAGTGATCAAACAATACAAATTAAATTCTCTATCGGAAAGCTCTTCATTTCGTAAAGAAAAATCTAACGGTTGGTTAAACATGGTTCCAAGAATCTTTTAATTTCTTCAATTTTAATATAATGTCAGATACCGGTATATATCCATTTGGAAGGTACGTAATCGATTCCTCCTTTAGCTGTTAGAAACAGTAGACTCTCTGTTAACGCGTTTGATCGACATTTCATATGCAAGACGCCGATCACACGGTGATCGGTATTACGTTAACGATTAACGTTAACTCTAAGTGAAATAAAATTGCGCTTTCTGGCTTTATTTCGTTTGCTTTGCAATAATGGACGTGGATGACAACAAATCAGGATTGGAAGAAATACAACAGATACTTGAACAAGTAAAAAGGGCTCCTTGTTCCATAAATCACTTTTAGATATTCTCGATTTAAAAACATTAATTTTATGGTGTTGAACGATATCTATATAGCTTTCAAGCAACTGTTACCAGTACGATGTACACCTGCGATATATTCAAGCTCTTCGCCAAGCTGCATTATTTGAGGAATTGAAGGACGCTCGAGAAATGATGCACAGCATTTTCCCACTACCTGAAGGTAATATATTAATTCAAATTGAATTATCACCGCAAGCAAAAAATATTACAACTTTTAAAATGACTAGGCGATCTAATGCATTAATTTAATCAATAGATATATGGCTTGAATGGATCCAAGATGAATCACGTTTAGCTTCCACGAAAGAAGAAAAGCAAAGAGTGATTCACCTTTATTCTGAAGCTGTCCAAGATTATCTATGTACATACAATAATTTTTTTTGATCTGGCTCTTCACTATTTATTCATATAATAACAATTCATTTTATTATCAATATTTTAATAGCCATTAAACTTTGGAAAGAATATATAAATTATATGATACAAGAGTATAAAAGTTTTCTTGAAGAAATGGATGAAACTGGTGACAATTCTGGTGAAGTTGTTACACTAGAACAAATCCGTTCAGTGTTTACAGAAGCAATTAAAAAAACTGGAAATTTTGTTCCAGAGGTATGACTTGTCAATGAATAATGTATAAGCGGTTTAGGTTTTTTTAGTCAAAGTTGTCACTAATTTTATTAATTTGTTAGAGCCATATCGTATGGGATACGTGTAAAGAATTCGAAGAACAAATATTGGAGGTGGGAAAAATCTCTAATATTTTTTTAAATTTTTTTTTTTTTTTTTTTGCTATTTTCTTATATATATGCAATTTTTTACCATTTTTTATAGGCATTACCTAGGTATCTTTACGAAATTATTATTTTTTTTTCTTTGAAATAAATTCTTATCAAATATTTTATTATTAGTGATGAAATGCAAAAACAAAGAGTGCAAAAAATGTATTTGGATAGACTCAAGGTTCCTCATGCAAGTATGTATTTATACTTAAATGATTCATATTTTTGATCAAATACACCATTAAACATTTATTTTCGTGTTTTAAAGCTATAGAAAAAACCTTTTCTGATTATTCGTCATTTATCACCAAATATGACAATTCCGATTATGAAAAATGTATGGTTGAATCCAATAGTTTCTTTAGTCAAGCGAAGAGAAGATATTATGAAAGAGATCATTACGAACAGGCATTGGTAAGTGTTTCATACAGGCCCTTTTAACGTGCGTGTTTCTCATTATAAAAATTTTTTTTTTAGGCTGCATCTGAAAATGCACTAGATAAATATATGGAATACATAGAATTCGAGAAAAAACAGACAACACCCAACTGGCAGGCAGTCCGCACTTTATATGAAAGGGCCATCGTCTTTCACTATTTGGATCCATCACTATGGGAGAATTATATTTTCCAATTAATTGATAAAAAATTCCCCATTAATATGGTTCTTAGTGTTGTTGAACGTAGTGTTCGTAATTGTCCATGGTCTGGAGATCTTTGGAGTCATTATATTCGAGTTTTAGAAAAAGAATATGATTCCTATGATAAAATCAAAAATATAGTTCATAGGGCCCTCTCCACTGGCATGCTTAATAATAGCATAGATGAGTTAGTAAAAGTTCTATTGGCGCATTGTGATTTTGAAAGGAGAAGAATAAAGACACCTTTGAATTCAGAAAATACATTGAACCTTATAAATATTATACAAGAAAGTCTTCAAACAATCAAAAAATGTTAGTATTAGAGTTATATATATTTTGTTTTTGACATGTTTTAACGTAGATTTTCATTTAAGCTTTTCCGAGCGGTGACCCTAATTATCGTTTAGAAAAATATTTGTTAGAAATTGAGGTAAAACATTAAATTGAATATGAAAATTTACTGTAATTTTTTTTTTTTTTTTGCATTTTTAATATTATTTGTAAATGTTTTTTTTTCTACAGACATTGAATAAAAACCTTACAAAAGCAAGAGAGATTTGGGAAGATATTATTAAAGCTCATGGCAGAGATTCTGAAACGTGGTTACGCTATATAGAGTGGGAAAGGTGCGTGCTCTCGAATTTTGTGCGTAAAATATTGAAGCGTTGAGTCGAACAAAATTATATACATAACCATTCCATACTTAGATTCATGGGAAACCGTGATGGAATTATTGAAAATCATGATGAAATTCACAAAAAATTCAAAAGAGCGTCCCAGCAAAATACCGACTGGCCAGAACGTATATTTGACGCGTGGGAACAATTTGAGCACCAATATGGAACCTTGGAAAGTATGGAACACGCACTTATGTTTATTAAAAAGCAAACGAAAATTGTTGCGCATAGGCGTGCAAAAGTAAGAAATATATTATATTCCAGATATTTAAAGGAGCGATAATGACCTTTATTTGTTATTAGAATGCTGCTTCATTGGAAGCCCAAAATGTTGGTTCTGAACAAGCATTCCAGGTATCAACCGCCATTAAAGACACACAGGCAGGTTGGAATTCCGAAGCTTCCCAGTCATCCAAAGTATCACAACCTGAAATTTTAGAACCAGGTAATGATGCAAAAAAAAGAAAGCCTGAAGAGGATGAGCCACAATTAGAAGGCTCACCAGCTTACAAAAAAAATAAAGGTTCATCGACTGTTTTTTATTAGGGAGTGTGTGTTTATTTGTATCAACTTGAATTAATCCATTATTTCATAATTTTAGCTCAACATCCTGAAAAACCAAAGCGGTAAGTTGAGCATAATCGTAACCATATTTATTTTAGTTAACTCAAAATCTTATTATTATATATTTATAGTGATCGTGAGTTTACTACGATAGTTGCCAGTAATCTTCCATTAGATGTTACAGAGGGCCAGTTGAAAGCTCTTTTCAATGAGGTATGCTAAAATTTTATGTCCATATCCATTATTCT